AAGAGACCTGGGGTTACATATTTATGAACTAGATAGTTATTGTTAGTTTAATTTAAATGGTTTTTTACCACTTGAGAGACTTTCTTATATGTTCTTGTCTTGCAACTAAGTGATGCTTCCTTCCCACTCCTGCAAGCTCTGTTTCCTCCTCCAAAGCCACARTGCCAGTGACCTTGCATTCAGTAAACACCAGCTAAGCCTTTTTAGCCTCAGTGTAAATAGCTGAATTCAGTGCTCTTAATTTTTTTCAGCTTTGTTTTAAAGGTTTGCAGACACTGAAATGTTACAGSATATTCAAACACTGAAATCAGTTCAATTGTCCTTATCTTTTTGTTACACAGTGTTCATTCTGCTTTGTCAGGCCGGGGTATGTGAATGCATGTCCGTGAGAGGAAATTCAATGAGCTTCTGTGCTGAGAGCAGCAAATTATTTTTTGCTCTTCTCAAAGCAAGTAGATGTGATTACAGTTCATCCATGCACACCAAAAAACCGCAGAGTGCRGGCTCTTCATGCGAGTCAGGCTCTGCATTTCCAGATTGCTGCTTTGACATCTAACATGGACARAATTGTGTGGTGCTTTTAAATTTATCTCCTGGATTTTGGTGTGATATTCCCAGCCAGAGAGATGGTCTCTATGTGTAATTGGTTGTTAGCAGCTCACTTTACATTCACTGAGTGAATCTTGCACAGAATCTGTTTTACTGAAGACAAGAAAAAATCTGTCTCAAAATGTTATAGCAAAATCTTGTGTATTGAAATCATCCCAGACCAMATGTAATCTGATACATATGAATTGACAAAAATAATCTTCAGTGAATGTGCAAATTTTGATCTGAAATAAATAGTAAGAACAGGAAACAAACTGCACTTTTGAGGCATGGAAYACTATTGTATTTTAGGATTCTAGGTGGTGATTTTTAAATCTTGAAATGTAAGGTGCAGTACAAATGATRTTACTTCTTTGTTTTTTATTGATGCAATAAGGTTTTATGGGGAATGTAGTTAGMAAATGGGGATCTGGTTGAATTCTAGGGCTTACCTAGAAGTTCAGGAYTTTT